CTCAGCCTGCTCGGCTTTATATTTGCATGATTCATATATGCTGTGTATGGTTGTAGTTGTGGTTATTTCTGTACAGTAGTTCACAATTTTTCCATTCTACTTTTTGTTCTTTTGTTTTGAGAGCCTTACCACATAACCCAGACTGGCTTTCAGCTCCTTAGCTTCAGGAATCCTCCTCAGTCCCCAGAGTTGCTGGAACTACTGGAGCACTTCACTATATCCAACTTACCCATCTACTTTATAAACAAGAACAACAAAAACCAGGGGTTGACTTTGTAGTCTAGGCTGGCCTCAAATCCACCCCACCCGCCACATTTCAAGTTCTGTGGTTACAGGAATGAGTCACGGTGCCTAGCTCCATTCTGCTTTTGATGGACATTGGACAATTCGGGTTATTGCATGCGGTGCTGCTACAGAGAGCCCATGCCTTTGGAAACTCCACCCACAGTTCCCCAGGATGCATATGTGGGAGTGGATGGAACTGCTGGGTCTTTGGGATGTGAATCCTTGTCAGCATTCAACAGCTGCGAGGCGCACTGGGAATGGGGAGGGGTCTGCTCCATCCCCACATGTGGATGACTAAGGAGGGCAGGATGCCCTGAGGAGAGGCCCACAGAAGAAGTGGGTTTCTCAGGAGCCTGCCGGCCGGGTAGTATTGAGGGAGGCTTTCTGTTGGGGCCTTTGAAGTTAGTTATCAGCTGCCAGAACTCAGGTTCCAATGGGCACTGATGAAAAGAAGTGGGAGCAGGGTGCTCGCTTAGACCATTGGGGAGTAAATGCTGAGAGAGGGGAGGTGGCCACAGGAGCACAGAGCTAGAGTGCTGACTGTGCAATAACAGGATTGTGGGCTGGCTGGCTCTGGCCCCAGAGATGGCCCAGCTGATGGCACACTTAACGGAGTGGGCATGGGGTCGGCACTGGCCACGACGCTCCTCAGCACCTAGTGCTGTGTCTGGTGTGCAAGCAGGAGCTCGTCACATAGGTGCTGAATCAAGAGTAAAAGAAGACAATGGAGGGGCAAGTGGAGCCTGGACCATAGCAGGTGCTTGGTAGATATTAGCACCGTTGTATTCATGGTACTCTACAATGGGTAGACTAGTCATTTGCTTATGTGACATGCCGTTCCCTTGGCAAGGATTTCCTAATGGATATTAGTGGGGCATGGGAAATACCAAGTCCATTGAAGGTTGCTGGTATGTCTCCCAAAATGGTGACTATAACTTCTAAAAGTTACAAACATAGCAAATGAACTTTAATTGATCTGGAGTGTCAACTGGATGAGATCTATGAAAAGGAGAATTAGACAATAGGAATTTGTTATTGTGTAATGTGAAGTATTCTGGAGAGAAAGATGCCTGTGATGAGTGTATAATCTGTCACCTGGATCCCCCTCTGCAGTGGTTGGAATGAGAACAGCCTCCACAGACTAATATATTTGAATGTTTGGTTCCCAGTTGGTGGACTCTTTGGGAAGGACTAGGTGTGGCCTTATTGGAGGTGTGTCACCGGGAGTGGCCTTTGAGGTTTCAAAAACCCACCAGGCCCATTCTCACATTCTCTCTCTCTCTCTCTCTGCCTCCTGTTGTAGATCAGATGTAAGCTCTCAGCTACTGCTCCAGCACCATGCCTACCTGCCTGCTGCCATGCTCCCCGCCATGATGATCATGGACTCACCCTCTGAAACTGTAAGCAAGGTCCCAATGAAATGCTTTGTTCTATAAGTTGTCTTGGTCTTGGTGTCTCTTCACAGCAATAGAACAGTAAACAAGACATCCTCCCAGGAGGACTTAATGTCCTGTTGCTGGGAGTGCTGTAGCGAAGGGCTTTCTTCAACTGTTGGCTCCTTCAGAGCTAGTGCGACACACAAGGACACATGTCTTTTGTGGGCTGTTTCAGAGCCAATGTTCTACTGAAGCAGGAGAAGAGGGGTCTGTTCTGTGGTCCAGCACAGAACAACTATTTGTTTGGTAGTGCTGGGGATGGTTCCAGAGCCTCCTGAGTGCCAGGCAAGTGCAGGCAAGTGTTCTCTCTCTCTGTGCTAAGTCACATCTTGTACACTGACAAGTCTCTTGGCCTTCAGAGCCCACCATTAAGCTATGAAGTGAGCTGAACCTTTGCTGTGCTTCTTCTCATCTGTTCTGGCCTAATCCTGTTTCCTTTTTCTCCCATACACAGCTGTGGAGCCCTGAGGCATTCTCTGGAAACATGTGCACAGTAAACTCCATCTTAGTGGCTGCCTACCAGGAAACCCACCCTTCATTCACACATTAAAATGCCTTCAGGAAATCGTGGAGCCAGCTGAATTTAGTACATCCCCAAGGTGCTGGGAATGAGGGAAATTGGAGATACTCTGTCCTGTGTGAAAATTTGAAACATGGCGAACAACCTTGTCCTCGAGACAATGTTTGTGAACCTACTTAGTCCGGAAGTCCAGGCATGCCCTGTGCCCAGGGATTCTTTCTCTTCCCTAATTACTATGCCAGGACGTGCCTTTGGTGAGACTGATCAGTGAAGGTGAATCTCTAAAAGCACCACTAACTCCTGGGGCAGTGGCCACTCTGAGCCTACCAGAGAGAAACCCCAATGCCGAAGTGCAAGGTCTCACAAAGGAAGTGCCTGTCATGAGGCCAGCCTCCTCCTCATCTATACAGCCTCCATTCTATGCACATTTTTGGGTTTTGTTTTGTTTCTTTGAGACAGGGTTTCTCTGCATGGTTTTGGTGCCTGTCCTGGATCTCGCTCTATAGACCAGGCTGGCCTTGAACTCACAGAGATCCACCTGGCTCTGCCTCCCGAGTGCTGGGACTAAAGGCGTGCGCCACCACTGTCCAACCCTCTATACAACTTTTAAATTATATTTTATTTAGTGCATGTTGTGCATGTGTGGGGATCAGAGAAAGTCCCTGAATGAAGTCCTCCAAAATCAGGGTTTCTTGGTTATTGTTTTTTTGTTTTTGTTTGTTTTTTGTTGTTGTTGTTGTTTTTTACTTCAGTTAATCCCAGGGTTTAACACACACTGGGCAAGCACTCCTGTCAACAATGTGTAATGCTGACATGGGCACAGACAGTCATGCCAAGGACTCCAAGGCCTCAGTCCCACGAGAGTGAGAGTCTTTTCAGTGAGGTTCATTGGGATGCAAAGCTTCCCTTAGGACTCCGAGTATGAGTGTTTGGGGATGAGAGACCAGTGTATGCGAAGACTAACAACTACAGTTTCCTTCTTAGGGATGGTGAAAGCCTGAGACTGTTTGTCTGCAGAGACCTCCTACCAAGACGAGCCAACCCATCCCTGTGCTGGACAGAATAAACGCTTTAAAGTTCTTGGTTGAGATGGAAGCAGAATCCCACGTGGTCCTGGCCTTGTTTATATGCGTCAGTCCTTTCTTCGTCCCTGGACACCCTTAGTCAGGGCTCCAGGACCCAAGTCACACAGCTCTCAGTCTGTATGTTTGGGATGCACAGGCTACAGGGTGCACATGGAGACGACAGGACAACTTTCCCTTTCCCATGTGGGTCCCAGGGATCAAATTCACATCAGGAGGCTCGTGGCAGGCCTTTGTCCCCATAGAGCCATCTCGCTGGCCCTTCTATCTATCCTCAGTTTTAAGAGCTGCTCTGCCAAGTGTAGCCCTGCCCTCTCCTTGCCATGTCGGCTTTGTGAGTGGTTTGCGGTTCTGGTGTTATCTTTTAGGAAGAGCAGATTGTGGGTATCAGGTGACATAAGCTAGCCCTGGGCTCCAGAAAGACAGAAGTGTGGAGCTGCAAGGGCCGCAGCCTTCAAAGCCAAAGAACCAATTTATCCCAGCACTTGGGGGCAGAGGGGGGGTAGTTGGATCTCTGAGTTTGAGGCCAGCCTGGTCTACACAGTATGTTCCAAGCCAGCCACGGCTGCATAGTGAGATTGTAACTCAAAAGAAGAAAAAGGAAAAAGAAAGAAAGAAAAGCCAGGGAATAAAAAGTCTTTTATGTATTTTTTGTTGTTTGGAGACAAGTTCTCTCTATGCAAGCTGGCATTGAATCTGGGACCCTCCTGCCTCAGCCTTCCAAATGATGGGACTCCAGGCCTGTGCCACCACGTCTGGCTTTGAAGCTCATTTGAGATGTGGGTTGACTCATATAGCTGGTCCCACACAGCTGTGTGGTGGGACCATAGTCTTTGAGGACTAGAAGCGACTTGAGTCAAGTGTGGTCTGGGTGTTTTGCTCTTGGTCAGTCACTGAGTGGCTTTATTGAGTCCCAGAACAAAGCAGGGAGAGTGTTGTCCAATTTCCTGGCGCTGTACACATCTACAGCTCTCCTCATTCAGGAGCACCTGAACTTGAGTCCTTCAGATGAAGTCTCAGAACATGAATCACCCGCCCAGATACCCTTAGGGCCTAAGGCAGGTCCATCTGGGCATGTTTCTGGAAGACATTGCGGGTCACATATTTGTTGGGTGTTCTCAGGGTTTGTGAGCACCAAATGCAATGTATGTGAGCCCCACATGAAACTGAGAGAAGACATGAATAAACTTTCTAGCTTAGTAGAACTTAAAAACCACTATTTTAGGTCTAGAACTCTAGCCTAGTGGTAAAGTACTTGCCTAGCATACATAAAGCCCTGGGATTGATCAGAAGCAAAAATCAAACAAGAAACCCTGATTTTGGAGGTCATGCGGCTGAGCCAAGCGTTTAGTCTCTACCAGCTCTGCTACAGATAACTCTTTGGTTGGGTGCTCATGATAATGGCTTTTCCAGTACTGAAGGGCTGCTTTGGTTGACTCCAGACTTGCGCCAGATGTCCACTGAGTGGCCCCTTGACATCTGAGGACATCCGGCCTCCTTCTCTGCTTCATCAATATGTTCTGTCTCACAAAACTTGTCTCTATGGTTGACATGTTGTGAGCGGGTAAAGCAGGCTGGTTCCGTACCATTTGTGTGGCTTGTAAAACCAAAGCACGAACTGGGCCTGTTCCGGAATTCAGGCACTGGCCCAGTGAAAGCAAGGGAAGGAAGCAGAAGGGGGTTTCAACAGAAAATGTTTATTTTAAGAAGACACAAACAGCTCTAGCTCTATAAAGAATACAGTTCAATTGCTGGTAGCAAGCCAGTAAGAAATCTTAAAAGAAAACAAAACCAAACAAAAAATCAAGGAAAAGAAAGACAAGAAACTACCTTTGTAATATCACCCCACAGACGGCTCCCTTCTGGTTTGTGTTGGAATCCTACAAAGGCAAGGTTTGCGATCTCTCCTAGTTACTGCCTCTCCTGGCATTGGAATCCGAGACATAGTCCCACCCCTGGGGGCGGGCATTATCCCTGCCTTTCAGTAGGCCATCACTCGGTACACTCCCATCTGGCATTGTCTTCAGGGCAAATGGGCCCAGGAGCACGGACTGCGGACTGCGGCGGCGCTAACCCAACACAACTCTAAGGGGCTGCACAGCAGTTACTTCTCAGCCCTCACTGCTTCTGAGCCTGCGTACTACTTGTGTTCCTCTTGGGTCCAAGGCACAACCCTTTCCTTTCCTTCCTAATTCTGGAAATCCCAAAGAGAAGGCAGAAATGAACCATTTCATGGGAGCTTTGAAAAAGGAAACCCTGAAAATCACTTGATTCTGACGTTTGAAAATTTAGATTTCAGGAAATGGGTGGATCCCTGGGCTCAAATGACAGAAATCAAGTTAAAGGACCAAAGATGCTTATGTCCTGGTAATTGAGTCCACATGCATTAAAAGAAGTCCTGGCAGGCCGGGCGGTGGTGGTGCACGCCTTTAATCCCAGCACTCGGGAGGCAGAGGCAGGCGGATCTCTGTGAGTTCGAGGCCAGCCTGGTCTACAAAGCGAGTTTCAGGAAAGGCGCAAAGCAACACAGAGAAACCCTGTCTCGAAAAACTAAAAAGAAGAAGAAGAAGAAGAAGAAGAAGAAGAAGAAGAAGAAGAAGAAGAAGAAGAAGAAGAAGAAGAAGAAGAAGAAGAAGAAGAAGAAGGAAGAAGAAGTAGTCCTGGCATAGAGGAGTTCTTTTAAATGGCTCAGTGCGAGAGGAGCTGGCGCAAGCCAATGCAAAGAGGCTCTCAGAAGACAAGAGCGATGCCTCAGGACTCCTGCTCTGCCATTCCCTTCCTTGACCAGTCTCCTTAGACCTAGTCCCGGACCAGAGGACCAACAAGAGCGCTGTATGTTGTGCACACGCTCGGGTGTGAGTCACAGCCAGGTGCGGAAAACACGCTCACACAAGTGCACACTTTTGCAGCCGCTGTTATTACCCCAGTTCGCACACAGTTAAGTGGGAGAACTGTGAATCTCAACTCCAACTCCTCAAAGTGTGAGGGGTGGACTGGGAGCAGCCTAGTAGCGGGAGAGGTGAAGCAAACAGGATGTGGTGTGTTGGATGCCTATTGGTTGGAGGGGTGCAGTGAAGCACTCCAGGGGATGGGGGTTCAGGAGGCAGGCGACACTGGCACAGATACTTCCTGTACCCCACTGGTTTCTTGCTGGGGTTCCGTGCTGGCTAGTGCTAGGTCTCAATTGCTTTAGGACAGAGATAAGTGTGTATTCTGGGTTTTAAAACCAGTCCGTGGAAGCAGGAAGCTGGTGATTTTTCCAGGAAATTGTAAACTGAACTGGATCTTATGGTGTGTGCCGTAAGACTTTTGAATGACAGTACCCTAAAGTGGTGACAGCAGTGTGAGATAAGACCAGGTGGCCCAAGACAGGGAGAGCAAGGACAGGACAAAAGAACTAAGTAAACTTTCCTACCAGCTTACCTCAATCTTGGGCAAACAGAGGCACCATGGATGGGACAGCTCCAGAGAAGGAAATAAGGTGTTCTATATCAATATAATTAGTGATAGGGGGACACGGAGAAGACTGTCACATGCAGCCCCTCTCCACCTGTTCCTGTCCCGATGTGAGCAAACTGATCTGATGGTTCGGTGTATGTGAGGCAGTTAATGACAGACTCTGGTACAAGACTCAACTTAGAAAACCTTCTTAAAGTATTACATTTATCTATTTGTGTGTGTGAGCCCATGTGGATGCACATGTGCAGAGGTCAGAGGATAATTTGCAGGGGTTGATTCTCTCCTTCTACCACGTGGGGTCTACTCAAACCTAGATCAGATTGTCAGGTTTGGTGGTAGGTGCCCTTAGGTGCTGGGCCACCGTGCCAGCCCTCACCCACTTTTCTCATGGGGATGGTCCCAAAAATGGTAGTGTGGATCCGGGGTCAGCCTTGCCTGGCCCGTGAGCTGAGAATGGTTTTCTATGTTCTAAGGGTTATAAAACAAGTGAATGGCCGGGCAGCCGTGGTGCACACCTTTAATCCCAGCACTCGGGAGGCAGAAGGAGGCGGATCTCTGTGAGTTCGAGGCTAGCCTGGACTACAGAGCAAGATCCAGGACAGGCACCAAAGCTACACAGAGAAACCCTGTCTCGGGAAAAAAAAAAGAAACAAGTGAATGAACAGAGTCACAAAAATAGAATCTGCTACAGAAACCATATGTGACTCACAAAGCATAAAACAATTACTCTCAGGCCCTTTGTAGGAAAAGCTTATTGATTTCCTGAAACGATGGAAAAAATCCCACCAGTTTCTGGTGAGAGAAGCCTTTGAGTCTAGAAAGGGAAGTCAGAAGATCCAAGAGAAAGGGGAACATGGAAGTAACTGGAAATATTGCTCAGTATGAGTAGCCTAGTCCTCAAGGTGTAGTGCCCGGAAGTCCACAGGACAGTGAGGTATGCGTGATTTACGGAAGGAGGCCTGAGATGACTAAAGTAAGAGCACACTAAGGAATACTGGGCAAAGAATGTTCTGGAAAAGAGACCACATAGAGTAATAAGTACTGATTAGGGAACTCTGTTATTATCTGATCAGATAGAGGTGGAATTTGAGCCCAGGGATTGGCAAAATGTCAAGTCAGGTGAAGTTTCTAGAATACAATTGAATAGCTACCCATAAGCATCTAACAGTTTGAAGATTTCTCAAAAAGATTAGGAAGGTAAGGTTCTAGTAAATTCTATGAAAGCTAACACTGGTTTGCCCTACTTTAAATAAAAGCAAGTACAAAAATTCACACTAATAAGTAATTAAAGACCTTAAGGAACGAACGACAAGAATTTCTCCAAAAAAGCCCCTAGAAGATTCCCTTACACAGGGAAGCTTTCCCACTAAAAAATGAAATTTGTTCTATATAAATCCATTTTCCCCCACATAGCTTTTAGGGAAAACATCCACTGTACAAAGTAGGGCACAGATAGTAAACATGGAGGGAAATGAATTTCTAAACTAAAAACCAGATTTTCTTTGGATTCATTAACTGAAGAACGCTTGCGCATGTTCCCTTAAAGCATATAGATTTTTTTTAATCACTGAAATACCTGGGAAATTAATGAGTCAGACAAGTAGAAGCCAGTCATGAGTCCTTCATAAATATAGTGCTTTAAATGACAAAACATTCATCCCAGAGGCGGGAGACTCATTGTGTGACCTGTGGCAAGCCATTTGACCCATCTAGGCCTTCATTTCCTGTATGAAATGAGGGAGGTTGGTCCCTTTCAGCTCTTACTCTCTGTGATTATAGATAAATATAGAAATAAGAGAAATACAACAATCTAGAAATAAGAAATCCCCCCAAAATAAGCCTTGGAGTCAGTAGAAAAAAGTAGCAATGAAAGATAATAAAAAGAATAAAATTTTAACTGCTAGCCAGAGTAAATATATCTCATTTAAAAATTAATGAAAATGTAATTTACAGTTGATCAGGAAACATCAGAACATACATGTTGGTATTTCTTCACCAGCACACACATGAAGGAGGAATGCCTTTGAAGTGACTGGGTACAGTGACCACAATGCTGTGTTTGCATGCAGAACATTTTATAAAATTGGACATAGAAAATCTCAAGACCACATAAGGAATAAATTTCTATAAAGCTTAGCATAACAAAGAGGCTGAGAGGGAAAACTGGTTGTTCTGGTTCAGGGGTTTGTCTCCCTGTAGGGGGAGGTCAATACTATCAAACACCACACTTCATACCTGAGGCAGAACCTCAGAAGCAAATCTGTTTCTGTGAGAGCCCTCCTGGAGAACAGCCACCCTGGTGAGGACATCCATTTAAGGTCTGGTAACACCAAACACAACCACCACCACCACCCCTTTTTGGTTGTTGTTACTATTTAAAAAATCCAAACCAGGCCAGATGGGCCCGATTCAATCTGGCAGTTTCTTAACACCAGACAAATGTGTAACTGAACGAGAAGATGGTACACACACTTCTTAGCCAGACTGATAACTCTAACGGTAGGAAAGGTAACCTGTTGGAGAGGTGTGGCTCTGGTGATTTGGGGGGCTTAAAGGTGTAATCTCTCTCTCTCTCTCTCTCTCTCTCTCTCTCTCTCTCTCTCTCTCTCTCTCTCTCTCTCTCTCTCTCTCTCATATGTTGCTCTAGGTGGTTCCAGGACCATACTTTGAGAACCAGTGGCCTAGATTTGGGCCTTTATTGAACAAAGGTATATATTTACTTCACACAATCTTCATTAGGCAAATTTCTTTTTGCTAAACTTATTAAAGCGCCTCCAACGTGTGTTCAAACACCATTCACAACCATAGTCCTCCATAAACTGATTTCAAAGTATTTTAAAATAATTGGACTTCGCTGACTTCAGGTCATTTTCAAGTCATCATACTGTTCGCTGACCTTTGACAAAGGCACTGTCTTGTACCTCTTTCCTTCTCCTTTGAAACCTTACTATCTTGGTCACTTACAGCTGAAATACATGCAAAGGCATTAGGGACTGGGGGCTCTGCTTTAGATAAGGTCTCATTCTCACGCCAAGCCGGAGTCACAGCATACAACAGAGACCAATGGCGGGGGGGGGGGGGGGGGCAGTGGAGGCCTGTGCTTAGTGACCATACCTCCACCCAGGTTAATAACCACCACTGATATTGGACGACTGACATCAGTAAGAAACGGACATGACAGGGTCACCTTGCACAAACAGGACACATTTCACAAACTTCTTAAATCTTTGTGTCTTTTACCTAAGTGGTAAGTAGTAGTAATTCCATTTACACAAACATGTTAATGTACAGTGTGAATGCTGATCTAGGCCTTCTCAGAGGCTTTTAAGTAGCTTTTTCTCAGAGTCCCTTGGTAGTAAAGTAGCACAGGGTTATGTAGATAACTGACCACCAGCTACCAACTACAATGATTCCAAGAGAGAAGTGTATTCTAGACTCTGGAGTCAGCTGTCAGCGCGTTTGGTCTTTCCATGGTGAAAAAGAACTTGGACAACTAGTTGACGCCTAACATTCTGTCAGAACTTCATTCCTTTGGCTTAAGGCTGTTCCCCTGTTAAAATGCAAGCAACCCTTGAAAAAGGTAGCATTAAGCCTCCCCATCTCAAAGTCAGTGAATTCATCCCTTTCCTGAGAGCATGTTTTTTCTTAGGAGGAGAACAAAGCAGGAGGCACTGAGGAGAATCGGTGCTGGGCCACAGGGACTACAGGGGAGAATGGAGCAGAAAGAGCAGACATAGGGTCACGGGGCAGACCTCCAACTTCCTGTTGAAGTCTTCTGGCTGTAGTGTTCCTCCTGAACGGGGTGCCAACTTGCCAGCTAAAATGTTTGTGATAATACTGAAGATTCTTTACTGCATACAAAGGCTTCCAGCAACAAATGGAGAAACAGCAAGAAAACATTTGGCGCAAAACCTGCCCCCACATCAGAACTACACTCAGAGGAAGAGCAACTGATACTACTTTACAGAGTGCAAATCACAGGGCCATGGCAAGGGTAAGGCACTGGCGGGGCCTTGAGAGTGGGCGTCTCCCCAATCGCCTCACCCTAGTCCTGGCCCTGGCAAATCATATCAAAGGAAAAGCTCACCATTGTGCCACAGACACAATGTGCAAACATAGAGGGCAGAAACAGTGAGCAACAGAGCACTGAGTGATAGCTAGTCTTTTTCCTGACGGGTTCAGAGGTGAGGAGTGGGGCGGGGTGCATGGGTAGATCTGCTGAGAGTTGACAGATACACAGAGACAACAACTGGATCTCTGTTGTCTGGATAAAAGATGCCAGGCAGAATGCTTGTTGGGGAAACCTTGGAGACTTGCCCATCTTTGTACATTCAAGGTCATTTTTTTTTCCAAATCAACCTTGTGGTCATGAGGCTAATGTGAATGAATTGGCTGCCTGTGACCTTGACTCCTTTGTGGTTGAGCTGTTGGTATGGGTGCAGTTCCTGGGTGTTAGGACTGAAAGACAAGTTGGAGCCAGGAGGGAGGCCCAGGCAGGCCGATAGGCAAAGGGGAGGAGGCACAAGCCAAGTCACCCTTTGGACTAAGACTAACCTGCTCTCCGTATTCGAACCACAAATATATACCCACCAAGGGCAAAGCATGTACATACCCATTAACTGCCTCTGGGGGGGGGGCCTCCCCCACCCTTGACTATACTGAAGCTATTCTAACAGAGTCACCTGCCACTAAGGGCTGGAGCTGGAGAGAAACAAGGGGATAGGAATAGCTTGAAGCAGAGGCTGACCACCTGGGGCCAATTTCATTTCCCTCCAATGTACTGTGTATGCCATCTGCAGAGACTACTCTCTTTCCTTATGTGTGCTGTACATGACAGGAGTGGTAGCAACTTCCCTGAGACCTCCCTGAAAGGGGTTTCCCCCTTCTCCTCCAGCCTCACGGGCAGCACACATTATACTCAGGGGAGAGAGTTGGTGTTTATGATATTAAGGACAGGAGAGAGGTTAAGTATTAGAAAGATGCTTGGTGTCGTGCTAACTAATGACTGGTAGTTACTATTATTATTTAACAATCTGGTTGCTTGTTTAGGACTAGGTCCACTCCCTGCAAACCCTGGAAATACAGAAGGACTACTCCCAGTCCTAAGTGTTTCCTCTGGCTGTAAAGCCGCTGCCTCAAATCCTCTTGTGCTAATGGCCTTCTGGGGGTCATATGATGCGGAAAGGTTCTAAACATCCCAGGCATACAGAGTCGTATAGACGAAAGCAAGCGTTTAGGGAACTGAAATAACCTCAAGCAGTCTAAGCATCCAGTTTACAATCTTTTGGGGAAACCTCTGGAGGTAGCAAGGTGAGGGGAGAGGCAAAACCCATGAGAAAGAACAAGCAAGACACTTCCAAAAAAAAAAATCAGCAAAAGTAGCAAGCCCTATACAGAGTCCCACACGCTCAAACTTTAGAGTTCAACAATTCACAATGGTTCTGAGGAGCAGACCCGGGGAGCCTTTTGCTTCTGATAGACAGAAGCAAGGCACCCCACTCCTTCATTTCCCGACAGAGGAAAACACCTCTGTCTTTTGGAATTCTGGGTTAGGTCAGGTGTGATACTTATGTATAAACCAGGCAAAGACTGAAATCAGGGTCTCACTATGTAGCCTTGGCAGCCCGCAACTAGCTATGTAGATCAGGCTGGCCTCAAACTCACAGAAATCTGCCTGTCTCCATCTCCCAGGTGCAGCGATTAAAACTGTGTATACCACACTCCTGCCCGACTCTTGTTTAAATTCAGGCAAAACTCATGAAACTTGGTTAAGATCTGCATGTCAAATGGTTTAAACATTTTCAAAGCAACTAGAGTTCCCCGAACTGTTTATTATTTCCGTGGCTTCTTTCTAAATCTGACAGAAGTGCTAGTTGCAAGAGAGTTGGTGAGCTTGATCTCCTTCCATTTGTCTAGAATTCAGAACTAGACCAACCCAAGCACGGATCTCAGCCTAGGGCTTCTATGCCAGAGACCTGAGTCTTCTCAGGACTCGGTGTAGGTTTTTCAGCCACTTTGCCTTGCTGGAGTGTGGGTGGTTGAGCTAACACTTTGCTTCTCATTGGTAAGGAGTGTGACCTCTCAAAATGGAGACATGCTTGTCTCTGGACCTCTTACTGCTTCCTCCAGGAGACCGAGCAAGGGATCTGTCAGGGCAGGGGGTGCGGGAGGAATGAATGGGTCAGGGGACCTTTTTTTGTTTTAGCAAAACACACTACAAGTTAATTTCCTTTTGGCCTTTTGGGACCAGAAGACAATGAACTTTCCAACCCTGGCCAGCAGGCTCTCTGGTCAGTGCTCTGCTTATCTCGTCCCCAGCCCCTCAGAAACCCAGGTGGATGGAAATCAGGCGCGCTTGCTCTGCTTACAAAGTTGACAAGAACAGCCAGTACCTGTTGGCTTTGGAAGGGAAGGGGTAATTGGGATTGTTTGGGAACTCTTTCAGTGTGCTCTTTATCCTAGCTGCTCTCCTCCCCCCCACCCCCCCATGGCTAGCTGAAAGTTGGCCAAACAGCAGTACCCAAATGGCAAAAAGTAGCCTTTTTGTAATTATGGGCCATAGCAGGCTGCCCTTTTGATTTTGTGTAGATCTTTTTTTTTAGTCTACAGGTTCTTGATTTTTGAAACAGAGCCAGATTTCCTTTAAACAAAACCCAAACAACCACAAAAAGCACACTCTGAATCAACTGGTATGGGGCAAGGTACACTTACTTTCTACTTCTCGAGCCTCTGATGATGCTAGACCTTCAACCTAATTACTTCCTGTAGTGAATGTTACATGGGAGCGAAATGAGAGTTCTTGGCATATACAGCATGGGCTGGGCACAGATCTTGGCTACCCACGATGACAGACATTCCAAAGACCTCAAGGCGCACATACATGCGAGTTACCTTGGCTAGATGTGAGTGAACAAATGTCCCATTCGTTTGTTGAGCTTGGTTCAGCCAAAGCCACCCAATCCTATCTTTTCTAGCTAATGGGGGGGGGGGTCGTCCTAGAAGTTTATTAAAACTCATCACCCTGATCTCCGCATAGACAATCAAACTGAAAAAGGCATGGAGTTTTGGAGGAGTCACATTCATATTTTGCACCACAAAAGCCATCCAATCAACCCCATGCTGAAATGAGTGCACGCCTCCTGCAGAACTCACTCCGGAGGAAGTCACACTGTGGTTGAGGAGGCCTCAGTGTCTGTCTGTGTCTTCACATAGGGCCATCAAGGCCACCCCAGGAGAGTAGATAATCAGCAGTGGAATTGGCACCCTCTGTCCCCAGCCCTGGTTTGGAAGTCCCCAATCTGTTCTCCCACTGTGCCTCTCGGTGACAGGAGCCAATGGACCAAACAGCTAGGACATTGAAAAGATGGCATACAGGCTCTCAAATCTGAGACTCTCTTCTTAATGCACAGCGCTGGGAGATGACAAGAAGGACCCCAATGTTCAGTCATGGTAAGGATGGAAGCATGGAAACACAGATGGTCTGAAGCCTATCAGAGTGCCCGGTGAGCTCAGTTGTGTTGCGTTGGCCTCTCTGCTGTCCAGAGTGTGAGTTAAGGTCAAGGACATATAGATGCTTTTGTCATTGCTGTGGTTGGGTCCTTTCTGAAGTCCTCTATCTCCCCCCTTCTCTACTCAGGGCTAGTAAGTAAGAAGCAGGGCTTAGGTACTGGGGTTGTCAGTGGGGTCATAGTCTTTTGAGAACTGTGCAATGATTCTTCGAGCCAGAGGGTTAGTGGTCTTCAGCAGCTCGGCCGCCGAGGGGCGGGTCCTGGGAGTTGCCTTACTTCCCTTCTTCTGGAGCAAGGCCTTGAAATCATCATTTCTGCCAGCATCTAGGCTCGCACTGCCACTTGGCCCTGTGGCAGCAGCTGACTCACCGGTGGGAGAATCAGCTGTGTTCTTCACTGGCGAATGGGAGCTGGGTCTGCTGCCTGGGAAGGCCTCCCCAGGCTCTTTCCAGCCGAGTAGCTTTCTTTTGGATCTAAATGAGAGAAAGACTGGTCAGTGAATTCAGGGAATTTGGGGAGCAGATAGCTAGCAAAGCTTTGAAGAACTGCCAGCCAGGGATGCGCTCAAGAGCGTGCATATGACAGCTTTGTGCCGATGGGCTGTTCCTCACCTCTTAGCTCCCAGGTCCCTTGTAGGGCCCTCTGTTCTCCACACACTCTTCAATACCCACAACTGGAGCCGCCTGCCCTATGCTCCAGGGTCAGTCCTTATCAGTTCTGAGCTCAAGTGCAAACTTAAAGAGTAAAGCCCAGTAGCTCAGCAACTGACTCAAGACAGCCAGGGGTTTGGAACTGGTTTGAACTGGTGCTCCAGCTCCAGTAACTGGGCTCCTAAATCCAGGTACCTCATTAACAAGCCCCTGCCCTCATGCCCCTAGGCCCACCTCTGTTCCGCGTCTGCCTAAGTCCCTGCTCTCATATGCTGCTCAGTGCTCCATATCGTGATAGAATTCTGTGGTACAAGAAATTCTGTAAAGGGTTAAATGTCTCTGACTGCAGATAGAGCTGTGAGGGAGCAGATGGAGACACAATAGGCCAAGCGGTTGCTAGGAGACGAGGGGCCTCTCTCAGCACCTGGTCCTCCCCTCCTCCTCCGCTTCAACCAAAGATATCAGTGAATTTGAGATGTGAGGCCCCAGACTGTGCTCACATATGCAGGTACCTGGACTTAATCTCCTGTTGCAATTGCAGGGGCAGCAATTTTTCTTCCAGTAGAAAAGGGGAAAACAATCACAATTACAATGAAGGAAAATGATCCTGACCTGTGGATCACAGTAAACAAATCTTCAGTTGTGCGAGAAGCCACAAACACGTCATCATCCTCCTCCGAGATCCATTCGGCTGTTTTATCACTGATTAAACTTTTCTCCTCGGTGCTTGGTTCTACAGGCCTCCCTAGGCATAAGAACCGAAAGGAATGACTTTGACCATGATAGCTAGGACAGAGTACATGCAATCTCATTATTTCCCTCAACATTCAAAGCAACTTTGGATGGACAGCAAGGCAGACTTTTGATTTGATGTCTCCATTTTGCGAGGAGGAACATGAGATTCAGAAGGTTAATGATTTACCCCCAGGCCTTTCAATACCCACATGGTGAAGACTGGCCCAGATCCCTGTTCTCATGCATTCTTTTCATTAAAACAGGTGATCTGAGCATGCTCATTTTCTTATTTATTTAAAAAAAAAAATTAGTGCTGGGGATGGAACTCAGGGCCTTGCACACACTAGATAAGCTCTCTGGCACTGAGCTATATCCCCAGCCCCCCTTGTTATAAATACATAATTAAAAAACTCCAGATACTGAGAGAAGGGTAAAGCAATTATCCTCACCCAGTGGGGGGGTGAGACTTGCTTGAATCTGAGGGAGCCTGTGGAGTCGGAGGAAGCATATTGGAAAAGAACCTGTGGCTTGGACATGCCCGCTTGCTTTCGTCACACCGATTCGCTTACGCTGAAAGTCTAAATCAGCTTAAAGAAGGTCATGAGATTTTGATGTTTAGTATTAAGGGTTCAAAAATGATGAGAAACACAGTTGAGCCTTGAGGGCATTAATAAAAACAAGCAAGTCATAAAAAAGACACCCAATCTATGACTCCACTGGCATCCAGAGCAGTTGGATCCATAGACCTGAAAAGTAGAACTGTGGAGGAAAGTGGGGTGGTAAGGGGAGGAGGAAGTGGGGGGAAGGGGGAGTTGTTTCAACGGTATAGACCTTCATTTTCCCAAGATCAAAGGCATTCTGGAGATGGGTTACTCAACATGAATGTTCTTGAACACTAATGAACTGCATGGCTAAAGACGGAAAATTAAGCCTGGGATTGTGGCACATAGCTACAATTCCAACATTTGGGGGTGGGGGGTGCTGAGGTAGGAGAATTGTGACTTACAGGCCAGCCTAGGTAACACAGTGAAATTCTGTCTCACAAAAGGGCTTGGTGCCCGGAAGGTGGTTGAGCTGGTAAAGCACCTTCCATACAAGCATGCAGACCTGAGTTTGGATCCCTGGCACTCATGTAAAAGCTGGACACTGTTGTGCATGCCTATCACCTTAGTAATCCAGATCTGGGGGGACAGAGACAGGCAGATGCCCAGCGCTTGCTGATCAGCCACGCTAGCCAATAAATAAGCTCTGGGTCCTGTAAGAAACTCTGTCTCAAATGATAAGGTAAAGAATGACAGCCGAAGACACTCAACACAACTGGTGCCTCCCCCCCCCCCCATCCCCGCCCATATGTAAGTGGTCAAAAAATAAGTGTTGTGTGTATCTTAGAATTAAAACAAAAAGTCACAGAAACAACAGCAACCCAAAAGGAGAACCATTAACTAGCCTAGTCTTATTGGTCCAGGAAGAGTTAGAATCAAACCATCCAGGGAAGATTGTGCCCTTTCTTCCGGAAGACACTGACAGAGCGTGCAGGTGGTAACACAGCACATCATTTCAGAATCCCATGAGCCTTCCAAGACACTTGAACTTGGTCTTATAGAGTACCGAGTCCCGTGCATTAATCTAAATTTGGTGTGGCTAATGAAAACTCTTGTCTGGTGAGTAGGACTCCTAGGGCAAGGGCTGCATGCCAGGCTGGGCAGATGGGGTCGGGAAGTCCCAGTGTGCTAAGGCTTTGATTTGTTATTGTAGTGCCTGTGCCAAGGGTAGGTTGTCCGGACTTAGCCTTGGAGATCTGTCCTGGGTCAGTCCTGATCTCCCGGACGGTAAGGCCAAGCTGCCGTTCCTTTTCAGAGTTAACCAAGTCCTCTAGATGTGCTCCCTACAGATTTGGTCATACTGGGGCATTTGGTCTGTCTTTGAACTCCAGCCTCACCCTCATCCCTCCTGTGACTGAAGGGAAAAGCCAAAAGATAGCTTACTAACCTGGAGAGATGGCCTCCTTTTGACTGTCAACGGGAGGAGCCGAAGTCATATGTTTACCAGGTGACTTCAAGTCATCACCAGTGGAGGGACACTTGGCATCTTCCTCCAGGGTGATGATGGGGCTGAAAGGTAGCCTTGGTTCTGCCATGCAGGCATCCGTTTGAGCTACAGGCGAGGTGAGAGGCAGGTAGAGCACACTGGGCTTTTTTGGTACCGGAGGTGGAATCTTGCTGATCTTTTTCTCAGCTTCTTCCTGGCTCTGGAGGCTGATTCTTTCAGGCAGGGCTCTCACCTTGGCGCCCCCATCTTCTACACTGGCCTGGGGAGGTTGCTGTGTTCCTGAGAAGAAAGCACCAGAGGAACCGGCAAGAGGTGTGCACACAACGGTGGAGGGCGCTGTTGACTCCCCCGGGCTCCTGCCGCTGGGGAAGCTGGGTGACTTTGGTTTCCGCAACACTGTGTAGCTGTCTTGGGGGAGCTGCTTCATGTGTGGAATGGAGCTCCTGGGTGTCATAGCCACAGTAGGAGACGTTAGTGGATGCTCCCCGGGGAGAGAGGGCGGCCTGTGAATCAAACTTGGAGGTCTTCGGGCCAGTGGAGGTTTCTCGGCTATGGGAGGTTTCACTTTTCTCTCTGGCAAGGTGAAGACTTCTTCTGCTCCAGGCTCCTCAGTGTAATCCGGGCTCTCAATATCATCTTCTGGCTCAGACTTGCTGACGGACCTCAGGCGAACAGAACGGAGGTCAGACTGAGTGACCATGGGCATGATTGGCTGGTTTGGACTGGTTTTCTGTGCCAGTTTGGCCCCAAAATTGGTATCAGAGTGATGGCGGCTCACCTTGGTTTTGCTGCGGATGGAGATACTCATCCCCGACAGATCCAGGGTAGTTGAAGAGGTCAGTGGTAGGTCAAATGATAACCGTGACTTGCAGATTTTTTCCATTGGTGATGTTGGAGGCAGTGATGACTTCCTTTCTGGCACCACTGGACGTACTCGGACACTGGTGCTTGGAGGGGGTAAGTGGCCCAGGGTCAAGGACATGGAGACAGTGGGCGTGGGTGTCTCTGACTGGCTGGAGTATCCACTGGAAGGCGACATCAGTCCAGTGGGCCTCCCAGGGGAGGCTACTTCCCTGGCTTCCACCTCAATGGAGAGCTGGGAGGGTGTTGTCGCTCTGGAGGTGGAAGGGGAGGCCAGAGACTCTGAGCTTCCCTGAACTTGAGTGCACTCAATGACTGTGGTACCAGTGGCAGTGCTGGAGCTGGACAAGGATTGGTAGGTGTCACCAGACTTCCAGTCAGTGAGATACCAGTGGTGAGAGAACTGTGGACCTTCCGAATCTTTGAGAGTTGCCACAGAGCTTTGAGAGTGACCTTGAGCATCGGGCTGAGCTGAATGGTGCCCTTGGTGTTCCAAGGAGAGGCAAAGGCTCCTGGGCCTCTGGTCCTTGGGCATTGCCAGTTCACCTTCTGGTGGGAGGACTGGCTCATCTTTGACTAGTGAGACACTGCGCATGGGTGGGGAGGGCTTCTTTTTAGCCTTCTTGAGGGAAATACTTTTGGATCTTTGCCTTCTGTGTCGCGCCTCTTGCTCGGTGCTGAGGGCCGCAATGTTATCAGTACTGTTGCTACCTTCAGAGCTTGTACTGGCATAAGGCAGGATGCAGGCCTCACCAGCCTTCTGTTCTTCATCATAGTCCACTGAGGTGACACCGGCATCTGTGGGCACAGATAGGGACCGCTCCCGGAATCTGTTGCTCCCGCCTGGGCCTGTTTCCAGTCTTGAGGTACCACGGGCCAGAAGGCCAATCTTGGGAGGTCTTTCTGGTATCTGCCTTCGCTGAGTGAGGTGCTCAGAGTATCTGGGTAGCCCAGTGCATCCTGCTGGGTTATCCCGGGTGACAAAGAGGGTAGCCGCCTCCTTAGGGACCAGAGGTGGGAGTGTGTTCAGAGACACCCAGGAATTTCCAGAGGAAGGATTTTTTCCATTTTCACTGACTTGATTGCCCTGGCTGCTGGCACTTGGAGTCATGTACGTGAAAGCTTCTCCCTTCCAGGAAGCGGAGAACGTTGACTCTGTCGGTCCATTGCAAGAACCGGGGACACTGTACACCACTGCCATGCTCTCCATGCCAGGAGGGTCTGGGCCACCACGTGCCTGGTGAGGGTCTGCAGGATCACTAGAAGAGTGTCTCAGTCCTGGCGAGGTGAGACTTGGAAAGCGAGCTTCCTGCCCAATAGCAACTCTTCCCTGAACAACTTGTGGAGCGGAGTGGCCGGGCCTGATGTCTGAGGTGGCAGAGCAGGCCAGGCTGCCTGCTGGGCTGTTGCTGTGACCTGGAGATGGAAAACACATGTTACTACTACAGCAAGGGATCCCCCATCAGCTGTTTTATGACAAGAACATCAACTTTGTGCCAAGCAGCATTTGCCAACAGCTTTGTCAGAATTCCTTGGTTCTTCCTTTTCACAGATGAGGATGCTGGGGGAAGTTGGGATCTTGCCCATCACCACACAGTGAGTCACAGGGTGCCCTTGAATTGGCCAGATGGCTGCCAAAGATTTTCCAGCTTTGATGACTCTTTTCAGAGGAGAAGCGTCACATATGGGGGAAACCTCGGTTTTCCCCCCTACTTTCTTCTTTCTCCTGGGTCCATGAAAGCAGCAGACCTCAGGGGTCATCAGTCCTGAGGTGAGAGCAGAAGTTTCTAAACTGACTCAAGACCACAGCACCACGTGGCTCACAGCCCCAGCAGTGAATCTGTATTTCGGGCATCTGCTCCCTTTTGCCTTTGAACATACCAGGCTTAGAATACCTCACAGATGTGACAATACCATTCAGATGTCCAATCTCCAGAAGTTTTCTCACATCCACAGCCATGACTATTCTAACATTACTATTATTACTACTTTACTGACATGATAATTCATAATAGCCAGCATTTGTTGAATATTGACTATGTCCCAGGCACATGGTAGGCAGCTTACACAATTATCTTTAGTTACCATAATGACTGTATTGGGTCAATACAAGATAACAATTCGGGGGGCGATTCCCCACTTTTATCTATTTGCATAAATTTGGCATACTCTTTTTGAGACAGGACCCCATTATGTAGTCCTTTGCTGGCCTAGAACTCATGGAGACCAAGCTGGTCTCGCCTCTGCTACTGAATGCTGGGATTAAAGGTGTGTACTTCATATCTAACTTACATTTGTAATGGAAAACAATAATGTAGTAGATTTATTAGCCCAAGATCCTTGCTCTCCATACTCAATTGCTGGTCTTGCCAAGGGCCCTTGGTTAACAATAATTACCACATTGGCTTTCTCAGGATATTCCAAGTCCCTCTACCCAGAATTATTCCAGTTCCCCACTGCCACAATGGCACTTGCATGGCAGGAGGAGTGGGAGATGGGGAAAGGGTTGGAGGGAATCAACTGTATTGGGGTCACCTGGGTCTCGCTGGGAAAAGTTAGAGAATCCAATAATGGTCCGCCTCCGCCTCAGGGTGGACTTGGGGTTCACGGCTGTCTCTGTGTTAAACAACGAGTGTCGAAAACTTGCATGTCTATCAAACTGCTGCCCTGTAGCCAAAATAAAGACACTTGGGTGCATCCTGGTTCCTGTTTAAAGTACAGTGGAAACTGGCCGAGGTAGAGAGAAGGGATGACGGCAGTAGCAAATGAGCATGAATAACAGCATCCAAGAAGGTGGTACTTCTTCCCCCATTCCTCCCAATTTGATTCTGGGCCCACACACTTGGTTTTACAGGCTACATTCAGCTCCCCTGCACTTCTTAGGTGCACCAGGCAGTATTTTTCAACTCTCGCTCCATACTGAAATAAACTGGGTAGCTTTTGAAACTCCACAATCTGAACTCCAGAATATTCAACTTCATGGGAGGAGGGCCTAGGTAGAAGCGTTGCCTAGGAGTCCTTGGGTGGTTTTTCAGATGCATGGCCAGGGGCAAGCATCACTGCTTGTGGAGTGATGGGCTGGGGCTAAATGTTATTTGATTGTGATCATAATGTTTTTCCTGGGGTGCTGGGGATGGAATCTAGCGCCTTCTCTACTCAAGGCAAATACTCGATCACTGAGATGCATTCTGTACTCCTGGTGTTGCTTTTGTGAGGAGGGAAGGACTCATTTGGTTATGGCCTTGCCCTCATCACCCTGCCTCTGCCTCCAGAGCGCTGTGATCACAAGTATGTGCCATCGTGCCTGGATTGACTTCACAGGGGCCAGGTGAAGATGGTATCTCAGGAAGCTGTCCTACTGACCTCAACATTTAGGAAGCAGCCCAATCGTCTGTCTGTCCTACGGCCACCTGGCCACATTACCAAAATGGGCAGTTTGTGTTGACTGAGCCCTATCTAATTCTCTTAAAGTGCTGGGTCAGCTTTTAGTTCCGGGAATTGGTTGGGGGCAAAATCAGGGTGAAAAGGTCCATGGGGCTAAACAGGCAGTTCCCTTGCTGCCCCTAGCTTGGTGGCTGGTTGAGCTGGACCCCCGCCCCTCCGCCAGTCACACCACTGCAGCCCCTTCCCAGCAAACGGCTCCACGGGAGAAATTCAAGAACAGCCTGCAAGTGAGATCGCCATTTAGACAGAGCACATCGATGTTGCTGTGCGAGTCTCCCATCACAGTTTGACTTCCCTTGGCAAAATCTCCTAGGCCATGAGCTCTACTTCCTGCCCCTCTTTCTCAAGTTGACTCTAAGAGCAGTGGATGAAGCCATATCCAGGGAGCATGATCACACAGAGACAGAACTGTCCTCATTGCTTTCACCAACCTTTTCCAACACAGCAGGGCCCATGCTAGCTTCCAGGCCTCCTCTGGCATAATCCCTTCAAATTACTGAGGTCTTGCCTTCATCAGGCCCCTGCTGTGTTTCCTGAGATTACTGGCCCTTTTCCTTCCAGCCACTGGAGGGGGAGGCAGGAGTGCCACGTGACCCCAACCTGGAGACTGTGAGAGTTCTGTCAACTTGACAGAACCTAGAATCATCTGGGAGATGTGCCTCTTGGCATGAATGTGGGGATTAACTTGATGAACTGCTATGAGAAGACCCAACTTAACTGTGGATGGTCCCATTCCTTGGGCAGAGAATCCTGGACCCTATAGATGGAGAGAGGGAACTGAACAGCAGCAAGCAGCCATTGTCTTGTCTGTGGACACAACGTGACTAGCTGCTTTCCAGTTCCTGCTGCCTTTGATGCACTGACCTTGAACTGTGAACCGGTATACACTCTTTTCCCCTTAAGTTGTTTTTGTTAGGGGTACCTCATCACAGCAATGGGAAATGAAACTAGGGTGCAAATATCCCCCCACTACTTCCAAGGTCGTCCTGGACCCCCTTCTGGTCTTTCAGTCTTTTCCCACTGTGCCCTTTGCGTCCCCGTCCCTTGTTACATTCCAGTTAAACCGCATGTGCTCGGATTCCCCTCGCCTTCTGTCGACTGTTTGTGTATTCCAAACCCAGCTTTGTGTTTCTAACATTATCTTTACCTGAAACAAACAAAATTCACAAACTTTGTTTCCACTTAAACTCAAAAGAATACCCAAGTTCCGAAGAAAAATTTGGCACATTCTGCAAAGACACTCGTTTGCTGACTCATGGCATCATTTGTACTGGCAGAGCAGATAGAGAGTGAGGGAAGAGCAGCCACAGTCCCCTCTTTGGCAAAGCCTCCACTCCCTGGGGAGTCATGACCTGGACAGTGCTGTGTGAGCCAGCAACAGATGGAGAGGCCCTCCCTCCCCAGCCCCCAGTGCGTTTGGAGAGGATGGGCCTTTTGCATGAAGGGAAGCAAACAGGTGGTGCTAAGCAACTCTACCAGAGATGTTGATGGGCACAAGGTCAGACTGCGTGGAGCAGGGCTGAAGCCAGTGCTTCTCCTTTAGGACCGGTAGCGGGAAGGGACCATTCCAGGAAGTTTGCTTGTTGGCTGGAGACAGGCTCAGGCAGGCCTCAGGGGCCCTCACACCCTGGGTCGTGGTCTCATCCTCGCTCAGCTGCCGTTTTGCAGGCTGTTGGGAGAGAGGGTGATGGAAAGGGTATGCTTCTGACTGGTGAGGAGCTGGTGCCCATAGGATGGCTGCTTAGGCAGAATAGTTGGAGGCGTCCTCTTGAAGGCAGAAAAGCATGTACAGGCTGCCTGGCTAGGCACCTGCTGTGCAGGGTCCTTCCCAGCGGGACCTCGTGGTAGCCCTGCTAGTAAGCAGTGACGAGCAGCAGCTTCCAAAGGAGCACATAAACAGTTCGAGATCCCCTGTCGGTAGGTGCACGCTGGCTCTCCCAGGTTGGGGAAGAGGCAACTCACCATCAACACAAACTCCAGACGCTTGGCAGACTGGGGCCTTTGGCTGGGAGTAGGCTCAGGGGCCTCATCAGAAGAGCGGAAGGTCTGCCCCAGAAGTCTGGCCTCCGAATACTGTTCCTCATATTCTTCTGAAAAACAGCATAATGGAGACACACTCTAGGGGGTCTCGGCCAAGTGCCAGGCTGGGGGAGGAAAATGAGCCAGGCCCCTGCACTAAGCTGCCCAGACTGACTCATATCGCTTCTTCGAGCTATTTCCTGGCCACTGAATTCAGAAATAGAAAAAGTGCTTGATTCCTGGGACCGTGAGGGCAGAGGAGGAAAGAAAGTCAGTAAATCCAAGCTGCGCTGCTTTGGGACCACGCCCTCTCTCAGCGGCCCCCACCTTAAGCGCTCAACCAGGAGCTAACACTCGGGATGTAGCTACCCTATGATAAAAGTTCCATTTTCTGAGACTCTGTCGCGCTTCGGGTGTTCTGCAGTGCTACCAAAGACCAGTGTGCGTGAAGCAGGAAGAGACCCACACTGAGAAGTCCAGTCTGGAACTTTGTCTTGGATTGCAAGAACTTTACATTTTCTTTGTGTTCTGTGAGACAAAGTCTTGCAGGTAGCCCAGGCTGGCCTCAGAACTCAAGATCCTCCTGCCTCAGGCTCTTGAGTGCTGGAATTACAGGCTTGTGCCACCATACCTGGCCACAAGAACGCATACTCGATGTTTCTTAGGTCTGGTTCCACTGTGGATGGGCTCAGGTCTAGGGCGACTAAAAGTGAGGAAATTGAAGGTGGTGGTGGCATAGAAGACAGCGAAGTTCACGAGCAATGCGAGGAAATCAGCATGTGTAAGATTTCAGTAGGGTTGACCAAAGCAGTGGCTTAGGTGAAAGGCAGAAAGCGAGAGCTCAGTACGAACGAACATTCAAGGCTTGGTGTGCTTTGAACAGACTCTGACTCTGGTAATGGGGCTTGCTCTCATGGCTGATTCTTTGCAGCAATGTCCCCTACTCTATGCTCTGACTCTCTCTTCAGAAACCCTTCCAGGTGCCTTATCAGTCTTAGGGCAGACATCTGAAGAATACTCACTCCTTCCTTTGGACTGTGGCTACTGAGCATGTCAGAAATTTTTTTTCTTTGCCAGGAGGTGGAATGTGTGCTCTCTCTGAATTTCTGCTCACTAGTCCTAATTCTGCCTGTGGTAATAACAGCACATTCACCCCCACCCCCACCTTGCACAGTAGCTCTTCCTTGCTGGACACAGGGCTCATGATTATCTCTCAGCATCTTGCGTCTCTAAGGTCACCACGGCCCTTTGCAGAGAGTTAGGGGTTTGGGCTGCATCCCAGTTGGGAGGTCCATCAGGTGTTCTCTATTCTGCACTGAAGTTAACGTTTGCTGTTATGGCAAAATCAGAACTGATAAGATCTTTTGTACATTTAGTATTCATTAGACACCTCTTGGGGGATCCAGCTCTGTGTCCAGTGTTCCTGAAGAACGCAAGAGTAGTAAGAGAAACTCAAGGGTAGCAAGAGATGTGTATGTGTGTGTGTGTGTGTGTGTGTGTGTGTGTGTGTGTGTGTGTGTGTGTGTGTGTGGTATTGGACATAGAAGCTTGGGCCTTGCACGTGCTACACCTCCAGCTTGGGGATGTGATTTCCACAGAGAAGCTCATTGTGATTGGCAGGTTATTACAGGAACAGAGTGTATGGAGTCCAGGTTAGGAGACCCTATGGATGGATGTTCCTTTTGTTTTCTGGTGCCAGACTTCCAAGGCATGGGAGACATGACAACAGGAGGGCTGGAGGGGGTATGGGTCTCCATTGAGGTAGTCTCCCATTCCCCTCTCTGTGAATTGCTAGACCCACTGCCCTGCCTCAGCCTGTATCCTTTCCCTGTGTGGATCAAAAAGGGAGGGAGAGGAAACAGAGTCTGAGTTAGCATCATCAGTCTGGTAGGTGAAAAGAGAGATGCTTTGGAACTGTTTTCTTTCTTTCGCGGCTCCCCGTTTCTTCTTTGCCCTCCTCCTGCTGCGCAGCCGCCTCTAAGCAGCCCCCCTCCCTCGCAGTACCTTGCAACAGGCTCTGGAGATTGAGCTGCGCCTCGCGAAGCAGTTCCTCTACACTCGGGGGCCTGCCCGAGGAGAGGAACACGTTCACTGGCTGTCGCCATGACGACCTCGAGTGGGCAGTCGCTGTCGCATTTTCCCGACCCGAGTTAGCTGCAGCTAGGGAAGGAAAGAGTGAGTGAGAGCGCAGCCGCGGGGGCGCGCGTGGCTTGCGCTTAAAAGGCGAGAGATCGCGGTCCGCAAGGTTTTTCCTCGACAGATCCTGCCGCAGTCCGTTCCCTCCCGCTCCGCCTGCTTCAGTCTGCTCCACCGCTGCCAGCATCTCAGCCGTGCCCTGTGCCTGCCGCCTCCAGGTCCCGCGCCGCGGCCCGCCCTCTGCGACCCCTGCTGCGAGGTAACGCGTCCCGGACCGAGCCCCTGTGGGTGTGGCCCGGGCTCGCTTGCGCCCCGTCGCCCTGTCGCCGCACTTTGGTCGCCTCCTGCGCCCCCCTCCTCATTTCGGCCTCCTCCCGCCGTCCCTATAACTCCCTGCCCCCAACCGCGGGACACTCAAAGCCCCAGGAACTAGTCACGATGTCAGAGGCGGCGGGAAATCTCAATAGCCTCCTCTTGGCGAATGTGGCCCTGCGAGAGGAGTTAAATGCTCTTCGAGGAGAGAATGCCCACCTGGGCCTGCAGCTCGGAAGAGCCCTGGCCGAGGTTAATTCCTTGCGGGGCTACGTCCACTGGCAGGGGCCCATAGTGCCCGTCCTTGACGAGGAGAACTTTGAGTTACTGCTCAGTGAGACCGATCCCGCTCCCGAGGAGGAGGTGCCTTTCCTGTGCTGGCCTCCTCCTCGCACAGATCCCGAGTATGTCTCAGACGATCTTTTGATTAACGTGGTCCAGGACTATACCAATCCCGACGGGTCCACTGACCCTCCTCTGTCACCCGGCCTGTCCCAGGCGGAGCTGCACTTCCCCGCGTCAAAGGAGCCACCCCTACAGGCCCTTCTGCCACCGCTGGAGCGGCCAGACATAGAACCCTTTTCAGGCGACCCAGTCTACCTGGCTGAATTTCTGATGCAGCTAGAGACTTTCATAGCAGATCACGAGGATCACTTCCCTGGGGACGCGGAACGGGTGGCCTTTTTGATTTCTTTTTTCACAGGGGAAGCGAGAGACTGGGCTATCTCAGTCACTCAGGAAGGAAGCGCCTTGCATGACAACTTCCCGCGCTTCCTCGATGAAATCCGTAAGGAATTCTGTGGCCCCATCCCCTCACGCGTGGCTAAAAAGGCCATCCGTAAGCTGAAACAGGGAGACTGTACCCTGGGCAGCTATGCAGACGCTTTCCAATTCTTGGCCCAGTTCTTGTCCTGGGATGACTGTCGCCTCCAAAACCAGTTCCTCAAAGGCTTGTCAGAATTTTTCCGAAAGGAACTCTTATGGTCAACTGAAATGGCAGACCTGGATGAGCTGATTCTTGAGTGTGTGGAGATAGAAAGGAAAGTGCGTGTCCCCAAGCCAGTCCCACTCCCAGAAATCCAAGATAGCTTCTGCCCTTTTGCTCCAGTTCTTAACGAGGATGAAAATGAAGGTGTGGAGTGCTATTGTGAGAATGAGGATGAGGGTGACGAGGCAGGCGGGCACAGGCTTTATCTGATGGACCAGAGGATGCACATGAAGGCTTTCTCACAAGAGCTGAGGGAGGAGGAAGAGGAGGAGGAGGAGGAGGAGGAGGAGGAGGAAGAGGAGGAGGAGGAGATGAGGAGAGAGGAAGAAGAGATGGAGGATGAGGAAGATGAGGATGAGGAAGAGGAGTATGAGGATGAAGATGAGGAGGAGGAGGAAGAAGAAGAGGAGGAAGAAGACAAGGAGGAGGAGATGAAGAAGAATGAGGATGGTGGTGAGAATAAGTATGAGGAGGAAGATGGAATTGAGGTTAGGGTCCTGGAGCTAGAACAGGAGCGAGGGAGAGAGGAGATCCAGCATGAGCATGTGTATGTGCACGACTACACGCCTGTACACATGCATGCACTTGCTGCCCACCATCATGGCCTACATGGAGAGCTGGTGGAGATGGAAGAACCTGTCCTTGTTGACAGTTCAACCCAGACCGTTAGCTCTGCGATAGGCTTCCATGCTGAGAATTACCTGGGTGTATCACCTGCCATAATACATTCTAGCAGACAGAGGAACCAGAATGGAGTCCCACTTCTGGAGGGTCTTCCAGATACCAATTCTCCCTTCTACAGCTCACCACCACCACTGATTCACCATGCAGGTCACTTGGGGCAACACCAAATGCAGAGACACCCCTCAGTGCTATTCTGCCTCACTCCTAGACAGGGGGGCCACCGAGCTCAAGGCCGAATTCGCGTGTGAATGCTGGGGTGAGTTGGCCACGGGGAACACACCCTTCTACTGCATCCCTTGCCCCTTGCCATTGCTGCTTTACCTGCCCCATCTACTGACCAGGCCTTAAGAAAGCTCCAGGCCTGAAGAACTCTAAGAAGACTTGCAGAATTCCAGACTGTTTTGCAACCACGACCAGAGAGTAAAATAGGCCCAACCAAGGCCATCTAGGAAAGGAGAAGTCACTGTCCTCTTGCCATGAACTGCTCAGTCCTCGCACAAGTTGGAGAGCAAGTGTCTGGGCCTGTTCTTGTCAATGCACTGGTCACCTTTGTTTTCTCCTCTAGTGGTTCCCAGTCGTTGCCTCTCCTGTGTGTCTTTGCCCTGTGTGCCACAGTTTTATCCTGACGGGCTCAACAGGACTTCACCCAATGCCTCACTGATCTGCCCCAGTGACCTAAAGGGCAGGCTACATTAAACTCTTGATGCCACTGAGGCTACTTGCTGGACAACGAGCAGGATGGCACCAAGAAATATATACTTGCCTTGTTTCCAGCAGAAGGGCCTGAAAGGGGAGTGTGCGCCTAGTGCAGTGAGAAATAAAGCCACGCGTGCAATGGACCGCTTGACGGAGATTTGCTCTCTCTGGCTGATGGTGGCAAACTGACTCCACTTTGAGGGCTGGGTTGACCTTCCCTCAGACTCCTGCACCAGGACACTCAGAACAGGCTTTGGCCCCTTTCCCCTTAAAGGATTGCTAGAGGGGGAGGGAGAGGGGGAGGCAGAGATGGCAGCAGCGCCACAACTCAGTTGGACATCCTAAGGAGTGAGTCGCTTTAGGAACATGGCCCTTCTGGCCCAGCGCGAGGCCTCTGAGGAGACTGTGTCCTCAAGGCTGTGGAGGTGGCACTGCTGGCCTGCTCCTGAAGCCCCTCTGACTCTGCGGAGTTCTCAGTTCTGAAAGAAGAAAACAGGGCCAGCTCCTTAGAGACTGCACCCATGCAGCGCGGCTGCCCAGCACCTCCATGGCTCTCACATGAGGGCCAGTCTCTCCCAGCCAGGCCTGCTGCTGAACTGCAGTTAGCCAGCATGGCTTAAGGGCTCACTGCCTCCTACACACTCCAGGGGCTTCTTGGGCACACATTCAGGTGCCCTTAGAAAGAGACCTGCTGTTCAGTGTGGGTCCAGAAAGCACTGCTTCTCCAGTGAAAACCACACATGTACTCTATCAGTTCTGGCCACAAAATGGCAGCCCAATCCACTGCTGGCCCAGCGTGTCCAAGGACACTGAACTTGCTGCACAGTGCCTGCAGCGGGGCAAGTGCAGCCTCAGGGTCTGTGGCCAGCAGGAAGGACACTGGAAATGAAGTATGTTCCTCACTGGAGTCTGAAGAGGAGAACCCAACCCTAGAATCTGACCTAAGACCAGAGGAAGGAACCTGGGAAGAGGAGTCTTAGGCAGACCTAGTCCTCAGACTGGTTTAGGGTGAGATCTCTATTCATCAGCCAAAGGTAAGGTGCCTTTTTGCTTTATTACTTTTGTTTCTTAGCCTGAGATCTGTGGGATTGGGTTCCTATAACCTGTTGCTACCTTTTACAATGGTTCCTCCTCCAAGAGAAGAGTTAGCATATAGTCATTATGGAAAATGTGGGAAGCAGAGACCACTTTAAGGACAAGCTATCCCCCTGGCACACACGCAGAATCCCATCACACAGAAGCATCATTTGCTCGTTTCTTTCTAGTGGGTTCTCGCTGCCTTTTCTCAAAGCTTAGGTCAGCCTGCCGGAGGGCCAGCAGCAGGACTGATGGCTGTCATCTGTGTAGCCTGGAATCATTTCACCCCCCTGAGCTGTTAGACATTTATGCTGTGTGGCTTCCCCATTCCCACGAGGGCAGGAGTAAAGAACCATGTGAAGACTTTGTTCTGTGTCTGTTTTTCCAGCCTATTTCCTCAGGCGAGAGTTCCAGAAGGGAAAACACCACTCTTCGAAGCTATGGACCCTGTTTGCTGATGTCAACATGCTGGTCATGCTGCCCGTGTGCTTGTGAAGTGCAAAGGGCAGGTGCCTTGTACCTCAAATTCCAGAGACCTCCTTGGCACAGGCCTTGCCTGACCCCGTAATGCAGCTCACTCTGAACACGTGTAGCCTCAGCCAGGGAGAGCGTGCATGAGCAGGAAACTGGTTTGTAGGCCTCTGGGGGCAGAGGGGGCTTGGACTTCCTTTGACCTTTTCCCTTCTTTCCCAGATCTTCAATATTTTTTTGTGATGTGACAGCTACAGGAGCTGCCCGAAGCTTTGAGTGCCTCCTTGGGTTGAGGGTGGGGGGTGGGGGGTGGGGGGTGGGGGTGGGGGAATGCATGCAGGGTATAAGGGTAGCCCAAGGACACCAGAGGCTTGGGAGAAACAAATACGTTACTGTCGTGATTGTTACTGTTGTATTATTGTGTTGTGAAGATAAATTGTTCTGTACGCTAAAGCTTTCTCTCCTCAATAAAAAAAAGGGTGTGTAAAGATTGTGTCTGTCTGTTACCGAACGAACACAGATGGGGCCCTGCGGGACTTATTTCCCAGACACCTTAGCTGATCTGTGCTAGCCAGAGCCTGGAAATTCTCTTGGCTAGGAAGGTCCAGTAACTACAAGCAGGGTGGAGAGGGAGGGCCCTTCCACTTTGGGACGCTAGATGGTGCTATGGGACTCCGCTGAGCTAGCTGGAAACAAATTCCCAGAGCAGGCCAAGCAGGGCCAGCAAGAGGCTCCCTGCTTCTTTCTCATAGACTGTGGAGTCAGAAAAAGCTACACCCCATTCTGGGACTCGCTCAGCCTTCTCAGAAATGAGTTCAGACATATTTTTCCCCCACTGAACCCCTCCTACTTGTGAGTGCCGGGCTAGGCACTTAGGGGTTAGCATTATCCTTCATCCTGAGAACCACCCTGGGCAGCAGGTGATGTATTATTTTCACCCTCTTCAAGTTAAGGATACAGGCTTAGAAGTCACTGCCCTGGAGGTGAAAGTGAGTGGCCTCTTCACAGTCCTGTAGCTGTTGGTAGTCATCCCAGAACAGCTCCTCCCTGCCCCCACTCCAGCCATCCAGCTGTTTAACAAGCCAGGCCCGGCTCCTGATTGTGCCCTGCGCTGCCTCCACATAGGATTCCCGTGGGGAAACAGTCCTAGTTACAGAGGCCTGTTTGCCTTGACCCTTTGAGAGGGAGAAAAGGAGGAGAACCATTTCACCAACATTGCATTGCTACAATCCAGGCAGGCAGTGGTGTCTTTTTCTTTTTGAACTGAGGAACCTAAATCTCAGGAATCTTAGGTTCGATGGGGGCCTCTGGGTCAAGCATACTGCATCTGGGGGCTCCAGTCGGGTGGTGGTTCCGTTCCATAGAGAAGCCCAGCAAGGCTGGCCCAGTGACAGGTGCTGAGCGTGTGCAGATTGTCCATTCTGGGGAAGGACGAGGCTATACAGGCTGTGAGCTGTCCCCGTGAGCACCGGGACTCTTTCTAGAGCTTTAGGGAGGTCAGACAGGGTACCCAGCAGCCCCGAGGTTTCTCAGAAGGTTGCAGGTGGGGGCAAGTGGGGTCAGTTTGTATAAAGACTAATGAGAGCAAGTAAAGGACAGCAGAAAAAAGGGTCCACTGTGTGCCAGCCCTGCGGGCTTCCGGGGCTGCCAGCAGCCCTCTTGTTGGCCACGCCCTCTTTGCTTGTTTACACTGTTGAGTTGACAGAACCAGCGCACGGCATGGTACACAGCAGGCTGGCAGCAGCAGTTTGGTCCAGAACTGAAAAAGCAGGTGTATAAACAAGCCTCTGTGTGCAGAACTAGAAGTGACTGCTAAGGATACCTGTCGATGTCACGATGCTTAGAGGCCTAGAGGATGCCAACCTCTAAAATGAAAACGCAGTCAGGATTTAGGAAGGAGAAAACAACCCCTCCCGCCTTACACAAGCCTGAGTGTGGGAGATGTGGCTTGAAGAAGCTAGTGGGAGAGCTCACAAGAAGGGGAACGGATGGGGCTCAGTGCACGCGAGCAAGTCGGTAGGGCGTCCAAAGACACCACTGCTTTTCTGGGTTGTTGCTGCCACCCAAAGGTGGACAGGCGCTGCCTGGGATCCTGGACACCCAACCTAAGGTTCCCTTGCACCTCACAGCAGCCCTTTGTATGCCAAGAAAAAGGACCTGCCAGGAGAGAAGAAAGGAAGGAGGAAGTGGGGTAGAAGGATGGAAAGCATCTTGAGGCTTCCCCAAACCCTCTTCCCAAGAGATGGAGAAAGACGGAGAAGATTCTGCTGCCTGGGATACTGGCTTGGCTCTTCATTGTTTACTCAGTCTGACCTTTAAATGGTCTTTTTGTGAGGAAACAGATTTGAAAGTTCACACAATCGGCTCAGGGTCACCCCAACAGTGTGACATCCAGAACCTGTGCTCTTAATCTCTACCACCGATAAAATCAATCTCTGTGATTCCTATTGCTGAAAAGCTTCCTAGGCAATTCTAATGCCAATCTAGCTGTGGGGACTAAGTAGCCCAGATGACATTTCCTGGCCAGTTTCCTCCCAGCCTTCCCATACAGCTCCCAAAGCAGGCACCAGGCCGGAGATGCTAATATATAATTCTAATATATAGTACACGATTGAGAAATGTATGTAACAATGATTCCTCAGCATATACCATAGTCTGGTGTAAGTTCATCCCTCCCCTGACGCCAGCCTCAGCTTCTAAGAGGGATGGTCCATAGGGTGGGTGCAGACATTTGGTTTGGAGAAGCTGGGCCTATCAATATGAAGCCTGTGCCCTCCATGGCCAAAACTGGCTTATGGGGCTCAGGAAGAGATGGCGCGGGTGCCTCCTGGGGATAAGCACCCAAGGAATGAGGTGAGAAACTCCCCCTACACAAGGACCTCCAGTTAGTATGTCCTGCATCTTGCCCAGACTAGGGAAAGCTCAGCGGGCCATCTCTCCCCAGGGACCCTGGGCAGAAACACAAAGCCTAGAGTTCTCAAGTTGCCTTGGTAACAGGGGATCTACTTGGAAGAAAACAGTTTCTTAAAGGCTTAAAAGGGTGGCTATTTCCTCTGACAGTGAGCAGGCCCTGACCTGTTCCCTGCACCCCCTCCTCTTCCTGCCTGCCACACACAGATGTAGAAGAGGGGCCTCTTGCTTCAGCAGTCCTCCTAATGGGGGATGGGGGTAGGGTGGGGACTGGGAAGTGGGGCCCTGGATGTTAATATGAGAAAGGTTAAAACGGAATGTGTGAAGTGCTGGGGAGGGGCTTAGCTCACAGGACCCACACATAGCCAAAACAAGGAGGGCCAGTTCCCTTGCAACTCCTTTCTCCCCACTCAGGGCACACGAACGAACCCTGGCTGGGGAACGGACTAAGCCAGACAACCTAGCCAGTCCAGACCGTCCATCCCCTCAGCTGAGTTCTCATCTCTTCCCTGGACCACTGTAGCTCCTTGCTGGTTTAACTAGCCCCTAATTTCTGCTCCTACTAATCAACCCACTTTCCATGTATCTGAGGTGGCGTTACGGTCTGTGTGTGTGTGTGTGTGTGTGTGTGTATGTGTGTGTGTGTGTGTGTGTGTGTGTGTGTGTGCACAGACACACGTGCTGTTTTGAACTTACAAATCTCATCCTCAATGACTCTCCTTCTGGAGAGGAGGACTCCTAGACCTGATTCTGACATTCTTCTCTGTCTGGTCATAAGGTAGGCATGCCCACTCATCTGCCCAGCCGTATTCCTTCCTTCTAGTCTGTCCTATCTCCAGACATGTCGAATCACTTCCTGCTTCTCCTTACATACCCGTTCATGCCTCTGGGCCTTTGACCATCCCATTCTTCTGCTTTAAAAACTCATAAACATTCTGGAGGCAATGACATGACCCTACAGTCTTAATTATATGGGAGGCTGAGGCTGGAGGATTGAGCCCAAGAGTTCAAGACCAACCTGCACACTATAAGGAGAACCTTCTGAAGAATGAGGGAAGGGAAGAAAAGAGGGATGGAGGAAAAGGGAAAAGGGAAAGGGGAACGGTGTAGGATTTACAAGCGTTCTTGGCTCCACTCCAGCGGCAATCTTCTCAGCTCCAAGATGACTTTATGAAATCCCCTCTGCTCCCAAACAGCCCTGCCCTTCTCAGTTCCTCCTTGCTGAACCATGAGCCTGGAGCTCCACTTCGGAACAAGGGTGTTCTGGTTGCAACATGAGCTTATTGCTGCGGGGCCGGAGCAGTGGGAGAGCGTGGGCTTTCGCCTGCCCGCCCCCCCCCCCCCCCCCCCCCCCCCCCCCGGAATACAGATGCTGCATTAGGAGTAGCCTTTGGAAGGAGGACTGGCCCCTTAGGCCTGGATGCTGTTGTGCATATGAAGCTGGGAGGTCCCTATAAAAAGCTGGAGGGGGGACAATAGGGACTGGAACCATGTGAGCAGGAGAGGGGCTATTCTAATGAGAAATTCATGCCCCTCCCTTCTGCCATCAGACTTCGGAAACAATGAACCCCAAAGAATTCAAAATTTCCCAGGAATCCCAGAAGGGAAGGGCTGAAGCCCTGGTGTCAGCCAGAGCAGGAACCTGCCTCCCAGGAAGAGTTCTGACAACTTATCAGACCAAGCTGCAGGATAGACCAGAGCCCAGACTGTAATGGGTCAGTGATGACTCCCCACGTCTGTAGCCCCAAATATGGACTTGGACTCGCTGTTCCTCATCTCAATGTGGCCACACATTGAAAACCACTTTTATCTGGTTTTCATTATTTCTTCTCTCTTTAATTGGTATATTGAGGACAGGGAGCAAAGACTAGCTTCTTCAGACTGCCAGGCAGCCAGCTGCTCCTTCTCAGCTGAGCTCCTTGGCAATGTCCATCATCTCTCTGAGGGCCATGCCCTCCTCTCACTCTGTAGTGAAGAGTGGCCTCCACTGGGCTTAAGGTTTACAGACTTAGCCTTGAACTCGGCCTCTGCCGTTCTTGCGATGCATGCCCTTGAGTTGATCACTGTGTTTTTCTAAGTCTTGCTTTCTGTTTTCTAAAAATGGAGGCAATAACAGAACGTATTAATGAGCTCATTGATAGGAACCAGGAATGATGATAATAGCCAGTACCTAGTTAGCACTGACCGTGAGTCAAACCCAAATGCTTTACATTTATTAATCATTACACTATTCCTGTGAGTAGTGCTACTGGCCCTGCTTTGGTAGATTAAGACACATGGCACAGAGGTGAAGTTGACCAGTGTCTAACATTAGCCTGCAGATAGGCAAAGTTGTGTGGTTCAGAAATGAAGTCCCAGAGAGCTGGGCATGGTGACACACACCT